TAAGATGTCCTTAGTATTTTTTTTTATCTTAGTCGTTCTGACAAGTGTAAGTTGGTAGCTTTTATTTGCATTTCCCTGATGATTAAGGATGCTGAGCAATTCCTTAAATGTCTTTCAGCCATTTGAGATTCTTCTGCAGAGAATTCTGTTTAGCTCTATACCACTTTTTTTGTTTATTTGTTTGTTTTGTTTTTCGAGACAGGGTTTCTCTGTAGCTTTGGAGCCTGTCCTGTCCTGGAACTAGCTCTTGTAGACCAGGCTGGCCTCAAACTACAGCGATCTGCCTGCCTTCTGCCTCTGGAGTGCCTGGATTAAGGGCATGCACCACCACTGCTCAGCTTTATACCACATTTTTAAATTGGATTATTTTGTATTTTGATTTCTAGTTTCTTTAGTTCTTTATATATTTTGGAGATCAGCCCTCTGTCAGATAGGTTGATGAAGATCTTTTCCCACTCTGTGGCCTGATGTTTTGTCTTATTTACTGTGTCCTTTGCTTTACAGAAACTGTTCAGTTTCAGTACGTCCCATTTATTGATTGTTGCTCTCAGTGTCTGTGCTACTGATGTTATATTTAGAAAGTAGTCTCTTGTGCCCATGTGTTCAAGGCTACTTCTCAAGTTCTCTTTTATCAGTTTCAATGTAACTGGGTTTATTTTGAGGTCCTTGATCCACTTGGACTTGGACTTTGTGCATGGAGATAGATATGGATCTATTTGCAATCGTCTACCTGTTGACATCCAGTTATGCCAGCACCATTTGTTGAATGAGCTTTCCTTTTTCCATTCTACCATTTTGGCTTCTTTGTCAAAAATCAGGTGTTCATAGGTGTGTGGATTAATGTCAGGGTCTTTAATTTGATTCCGTGGGTCCACATATTTGTTTTTATGCCAATATAGATGTTTTTATTACTATAGCACTGTAGTAGAGTTTGAAGGGATGGAGATGCTTCTGGAAGTCCCTTTATTGTACAGAACTGTTTTAGCTATTCTCCATTTTTTTTTTTGCTTTCCCATATGAAGTTGAGTATTGTTATTTCAAGGTCTGTGAAGAATTGTGTTGGGATTTTGATGGGGATTGCAATGAATCTGTAGCTTGCTTTTGGTAACATTGCCATTTTTATTATGCTGATCCTGCTATTCAAGAGCATGTGAGAGCTTTCCATTTTCTGATATCTTCTTCGGTTTCTTTCTTTAGAGACTTAAAGTTCTTGTCTTACAGGTCTTTCACTTATTTGGCTGGAGTTACTTCAAGATAGTTTATATTTAGAGCTATTGTAAAGGGTAATGTTTCTCTGATTTCTTTCTCAGCCCATTTATTTTTTGTATATAGGAGGGCTACTGATTTTTTCTGAGTTAATCTCATATCCTGCCATAGTACTCGAGATATTTATCAGTTGTAGGAGTTCACAGATAGAGTTTTTGGGATCACTTATGTATCTTATCATATCATCTACAAATAGTGATACTTCGACATCTTCTTCCTTTCTAATTTGTATCTCCTTGATCTCCTTTTGTTGTTTTATCGCTCCAGCTAGAACTTCAAGCACTATATTGAATAGATATGGAGAGAGTGGACAGTCTTGTCTTATTTCTGATTTTAGTGGAATTGCTTTGAGTTTCTTTCCATTTAATTTGATGTTGGCTGTTGCCTTGCTGTAAATTGCCTTTTATTATGTTTAGGTATGTTCCTTGTATCCCTAGTCTCTCCAAGACCTTTATCATGAAGGGATGTTGTTTTTTTGTGGAAAACTTTTTCAGCATCTAATGAGATGATCATGTGGCTTTTTTCTTTCAGTTTGTTTATATGGTGGATTAGTGTATGTTGAACCAACCCTACATCTCTGGGATGAAGCCTACTTGGTCATGATGGATGATTTTTTTAAATGTGTTTTTGGATTCAGTTTGTCAGTATTTTATTGAGAATTTTTGCACTAATGTTTATAAGGGAGATTGGTCTGTAGTTCTTTTTCTTTGTTGCATCTTTATGTGGTTTGGTTATCAGGGTAAATGTAGACTTACTGTAGACTTGTAAAAGAAGTTTGGCAATGTTCCTTCTGTTTCTATTGTAAGAAACAATTTGAGGAGTATTGGAATTAGCTCTTTTTTAAAATTCTGGTATAGAATTCTGTGCTGAAGCCATCTGGTCCTGGGCTTTTGTTTTTGGGAGGGGAGACTTTTGATGACTGTTTTTATTTCTTGGGGGTTATAAGTCTATTTAAATTGTTTATTTGGTCTTGATTTAATTTTGGTATGTGGTACCTATCTAAAAAGCTTTCCATTTCTTTTAAATTTTCCAATTTTGTGGAGTACTGTTTTTTTTGTTGTTGTTGTGTTTGTTCATTTTTTTGAGATAGGGTTTCTCTGTAGCTTTGGTACCTGTCCTGTAACTCGCAGGCTGGCCTCGAACTCACAGAGATGTGCCTGTCTCTGCCTCCTGAGTGCTGGGATTAAAGGTGTGTGCCTCCCTCCCGTCCAGTGGAGTACAGGTTTTTGAAGTATGATCTGATGAGTCTCTGGATTTCATTTGGTTCTGTTGTATAAATGCCCCTTTTTGTTTCTGATTTTGTTAATTTGGATATTCTCTCTCTGCCTTTTGGTTAGTTTGGATAAGGGTTTATCTCTCTTGTTGCTTTTCTCGAAGAACCAGCTCTTTTTGTTTCTATTTTATTGATTTCAGCCCTCAGTTTGATTATTTCCTGGCATCTCCTTCTGGTTAATTTGCTTCTTTTTGTTCTAGAACTTTCAGGTGTTCTATTAATTAGCTAGTGTGGGATTTTTCCAACTTCTTTATGTAGGCTTTTAGTATTAAGAACTGTCTTGTTCATACTGCTAAGTTTGGGTATGTTGTACTTTCATTTTCACTGAATTATAGGAAGTCTTTAATTTTCTTCTTTATTTCTTCCTTGACCCAGGGGTGATTCAGTTGCTCATTATTCAGTTTCCATGAGTTTGTGAGCTTTCTGAATATCAGGTTAGAGATTCACTAACTACAGCCACTGGAAGAGGCATAGGAGTACCTGAGAGCGTGTGCAGGTGACCTATGGCTCATCACAGCACTAAAACACACCCCTAGGAGGATTCAATATGCTAATGAGACATGAAAAGCTTGAAACTGTGTGTAGAACTCATGTGACAGATACTGCATGTGCAAGGTAGCATGGGATAAGTAATACTATGCGATACAAAACTTTGCCCCATCTTCTGTACAGTGAACATATTAAAACCACACAGAGAAGAGCAGGCCTAAGAATTTATCATGCCAGATGAAGGAAAGGAGGAAACTCCTACATTTGAGTCCCATCAAGAGGCAGGCACCTAGCATTAAGATGCCTGGTGGTAGTGGTGCACACCATTAATCTAGCACTTGGGAGGCAGAGGCAGGGGAATCCCTGAGTTTGAGGCCATCCTGTTCTACAGAGTGAGTTCCAGCACAGTTAATGCTACACAGGGAAACCCTGTCTCAAAAAAACCAAACAAACAGAGATGGAGACAACGCTCACTGATCACCTAGGATGTGTACCAAGAGACCGACAGCGAGATAATTCAGAACTGTCTCAGGGTCTTTAACTCAGCTCAGGCTCTGTTGTTGGCATGGCATACTCAAACTGTCGTCTGCCCACCTACCTGCTCACCTGCCTAGATCTGCCATCCACCCATCTACTCATGTATTCATCTGGACCCAGTTCCGCCCTTTTGTCTCTATCGCTGCTCTCAACTCAGCCTGAAGCCTGACTCTACAACAGCCCTAATAGACTCTTCAGCACAGTAATTCTCAACCTGTGGGTGGTGATCTCTTTAGGGGGTTAAACGACCCTTTCACAGGGGTTGCCTAAGACCACCTGCGTATCAGGTATTTGCATTATGATTCACAGCAGTAGCAAAATTACAGTTATGAAGTATCAACGAAAACAATTTAATAGTTGGAGGGGTCACCACACCACGAGGAACTGTATTAAAGGGTCACAGCTTTAGAGTGATTGAGACCCTCTGATTTAGCAGGGGCAACAGCTCAGGTTGGTTCATTGTCTGCAAATTTATTTCTACTGTGTTTTTTGCTTTTTGGGACTTCTGAAACTCTCTGAAGTCTGCTGTGACCCCTTAACTCACACGAATCATTCTATAATCTCTCTCTCTCTCTCTCTCTCTCTCTCTCACACACACACACACACACACACACACACACACACACACACTGTGTAATGTGTAATATGTGATCTGAGTGTTAATAGTAGTAAATAGATTGAAATTAAAGGATCCCTGCTCACCACTGCCAGGACTGTCAAGAAAAGTTGATGTTTCTGACAAATTGCTGCTGTTGAAACTGTGGTCCCTTGTGAGTTTATGGTTATTCAATAAATTCTGCCTTGTGCAAAGGTAAACGCGTGCTCATCTCTGTTTCTGACATAATATGCCCAGGATTTTTGTTGTTGGCTATTTCTGTCCCTCCAGCCAGCTCTTAACAGCTCCCAATTAACCAATTAACCACACAGAGGCTTCTTGTTAATTGTAAACATTTGGCTGATAGATTAGGCTTGTTACTAATTAGTGCTTACAACTTAAATTGACCCCTATTTCTTATCTACCTACTGCCACGTGGCTTGGTACCTTTTTTTTCTTTCCTTTTTCTTTTCTTTTCTTTTCTTTTCTTTTTTTATTTTATTTTTTTTGGCACAGCAAGTTCATCTTGCTTCTTGTTACAGTCCTGGAGAAGTCCCACTAAAGACCACCATCCACGTATGCAAATCACCATGTGCGTGTGGGGTTGCTCACCTGTACAAAATGGTGACGAACCTGAGAGGGATGTGAAGGCTTCTTTTAGGCACAGCTACAGGGAGTTCCTAGGGCAGTTAGGTAATTTTATCTATGATTGGCTGGCAATTATGTTAGTATACTCCTAATTGGCTAGGGCTAGCAAGGGCTGGCTAAGGCTGTAGTTTTTCCATTTGGGGGCAGGCCTGGACAAGTTCTAGGCTGTATTCTTCCTTGGCTGCCGTAGAGCTGTCGGGGGCGGCTGGCTCAGGCCTAGAATACCTTGAGCTGCTGTTGGGGTCTTAAAGATTGATTGTCCTTTGTTCATGGCTTCCTCAGAAACAGCCTGCTCAGTTGCAAGAAGCAGGAACTGGGGCCTATATTTTAACTAACTTATTTGGAGCCTGTCATGATATTTTCTTGGCTTTCTCACTTCTCTCCAGGTCTCCGGGCAACCCCTCTCTTCTTCCTCCCAGTGTTGTCCCAGGCTGGTTCTCCCGTTTAACCTCTTCATGCCTACCTATTGATCAGTTAGCTCTTTATTGAAGCAATGAGAACAACATGTCTTCACAGTGTACAAAAAGATTATTCCACAGCACAGGAGAGGGTGAAGGAGAAAGGGGATGAAGGGAGGGGAGCAGAGAAAAATAGTTGATTTTCTTTAACAGTTTAATTTGTTAACATTGCGTATGTGTGTCTTTCCAATTTTGATCTTCAAGGAGGTAAAGAAGCACCGAAGAGCCCTGCTGAGGATCCTAGTGCGCCACATCGTCAGGATCTCAGAGCGAGAGGACACAGCGGATGCTGAAACACAGAAGAGCAGATGCTGATGTGGCTGACTTGTCTGTGCTCACAGAGACAGCACAAAGCAATTCCAGCATATACAGGTTAGGAGGAGAGAACTGCTCACCCATCTCCATTTCCTAGCTCTACTCTTGGTACTGCCCTTTCTCTTACGGACACTGAAAGTATCTGTAATCGAGGCCAGCAGAGAATTGTCAATCATGAGCTCTGAATGTAGCAACGAGAACCAGACAGTGCGGGAACAGACAACCCTGGGCAGTCACATTTCACCCTGTGAGCTCTCACCACTCTTGAGGTGGCCACTCACTGGTCTGGTGGGAACTGAAGTAGTAACTCTGTTTTCTAATTGTAAAAGGCCGTGTGAAGACAATCATTGGATTGCATTTTGAATTGAAATGTCAGTCTTTTTGTTGTTGGTGGTTTTCTCATCAACTGAGGTGCTATGCTCTTAATAATTTCCAAATTCTAGTCATCGAGAAGAAGAGCAATGTACATTGTGCCTTATATGTTAGCAAGTTCCCTAGAGAACAAAGCATCCTAAATCTACCATTCTAAAACATTCATAGCAGGGAAGTTTGCTCATCTATTCTCCCCTTTATTTGATCTTTTAAGCAAAAACTTATTCCTGAGCAGTTCTCACACTTGAGGTCTTGCAGTTGATGCTGGCGTTGGAGATAGAAATGTGACATCCAAGAATTCACCTGACAATTGAATTACCATTTACTGTCACAAGTCATCATGAGGGTGGCAGACAGCCGAGTGGGAGCGTGGACTTTTCCTAACACTTTGACTGAAAGTCACATGTATGTCACCACACCCAGGAACATCTTACGTACACACACACAAGTACGCATGCACACACACACACATATGCACACACACACTTACCCTATTCACACAAATACTGACCAGTTTTCCTCTCGCAACAATTTGAATGCTTTGTTGACTTTTTCAAAAGGCAGCTTATGGGTTATAAGAGCGTCTATGTTGATTTTCTTTTGTACACAGTCCGTTACTAGTTTAGGGATGTTGTCTCTGGTTTTATACCCTGTAGAAGGAAAAGACAAAAGTAATAGGATGTGAAAAATATCAGAGCTCCCATGAGACTTTCCATTTCTAAAATTATCAAAGCCGTTCATTCATTGATCCTTTTCCTAAATGTCAAAGCCAACAGTTTGTTGCTAGCAGAATCCAGTCACTGAGAGAACAGTAATTTCCAGAGCTATAGAAGAGCCTTACCATCTTTGTTCTCAAGGTTATTACCATAACCCATTTGCCTAAAGCTCTCCGTTGTCTTCAGGATGCGAATAGTTTCCTACAGCACCTGCTGGCTGATTGACCTGGGTTGCCAGACTCCTTTCCTCTGAGGCTCTAACATCAGCTGGAAGGTGAAGGTGGCAGGAAGTGGCTAGTGTCATGGACACAAAGGCCAGTCATGGGGTGAGGGACTCCGAGTATGACTGCGCTGAGTCTCTTATTTCTGTCTTCCCTTTCACAGAGGAAGAGGAAAATTCTAGCACAGTCTCATTGAAGTCCACACACCCAAGGACATAAGGACTCCCTAGAAGGCCTCACCTCCTAAAGGGCCACAGAACCTCTCAGTAGCACCATTCTGGGGACCTCTAACTTACAGACTTGGTGGACATTCAGCATCTGTACCACAGAAACAATACGATATCTGACTATTGCATTATTAATTCACGTGCAGGGTTTTCACTAACCTGGAACCTGTCAGAATAACAATGAACAAAGGGCAGCCTCTGCAGCAGATTCTTTAATCCATATTAAAATAATTCCTCTTTTTAAGGAATTAGTTTTATGAATTAGTGAGATAACTGGCTATTAGTACCCGGCATGCCTTTCCAGCATGCCCTTATGCCTTTGCACATGCACACACTCTTGGTGTCATAAATAGATTAAAATAAATAGACAGCACAGTAAGAGGGTACACATGGTGTCTGGGAATAAGACACTTTCAAATTTCAACTTTGGGATTGGAGTTGCTGGTAAAAATCAAGGCCAAAAATTGAGGTCTGGAGATCTGTGAGCCAGGCACAAGACTGGTCAATCAGATACCTGGAGCCAAACACGTTCAGGTTTCCAGCAGTTGTGTGGAATCCTAGGGTCTTTCTAAAAGCCTGGAAGAGCCTCTAAGGCAGCATAGTGCCTGACAGGAAACAGACCACAAAACTTCAGGATGTCAGGCTCATGACAAGAAGGTGGCAAAGCCTCTTGTCTGGGGACAGAAGAGAGACTGGAACCAGTGACCCAGTGTTTGCTCAGCAGGCAATTCTTCCTCCGCTGTTTACTTCCCAGCTTCTGTCTTACTGAGTGGGTACTATTCTTGCTGCAGACCGTATAGTCCTTTGTGCTGAGCCAGAAGGCTGTATCTGATAGCCCTTAGCAGTCACACAGATGAGGTCATCTTGGCTATCCAAAGCTCATCGCTTCCTATTTGATGCGAATTTCAGTTTCTTATTCCTCTTGCTCTGATAAAACTATCCTGATACGAGCTAGAGAGATGACTCATTGACCGAGCACTTGCTTCTCTTCTAGATGACCTGGGTTCAATTCCCAGCACCTACATGGCCATTTACATCTACCTTTAACTCCAGCCCCAAGGGAGCTGATACCCTCTTCTAACCTTCAAGGGCATCAAGCACACAAGAGATACATAAACATACATGCAGGTTACATGCAGGTAAAATACACATAAAAAATATATTGACAAAAGCAAAACAAACCTCTTTTTTTGTGAAAGGTAACCACACACACACACACACACACACACACACACACACACACACACACACACACTGACAACAACAGAAAATGGACAAAGATAGATGGTTAGCTATAAAGCAAAAGCCGAATCGATTCTATTTAGTAATCCCCAGCATTCAGTTACTTCTTAAATAGTGTGGAGAGTGCAGCCCACACTTCCATTTTCTGATACATTGTCTTCTACTTCTTCCCATTTTCCTCCACTATCCCCTCCGAGGAGCATGCAGAGGATTCTGGGAAGAGAAAGGAAACGGAAAGGCCTACCTCCCATAATAGAAGATTTCAAGGTTCTCCCTGGCAGAAGCACCATTGGGTCAAAGGAAAGCTGTGAACCTGTTGGAGCGACTCCCATAATCACACACACTCCATAGCTCATGTTGCAGGACTTCAACGCTGAGACCTAAATGCAGACACAGAATGGTTACTATCTCAGCAACTCTGCTGTGGTAACTTGTAACTTGTAACAGGCCTGGTAGAAATGAAGGTCTTCTAAAGAAGCCTTTGACCCTCAATTGGATCAGTAGACTACTAAAACAAACAACCTCAAAGAAATGGGCATTGTCCCATGAACCACAGGCTAGGAGAGGAAAAGGGCACCAGACAGCTTGGGCATTTGTATCCTGGGGATGAGACTGAGGTGCAGACAGGACTGACCAAGGGTGGGTAGGAACAAACCTTGGTCTGGACTGCTCAGATGCGTGTATCTGTTTCAACTTTGCTCTCACTTCACGACTTGGGGGCTTCACTGGGTCCTTCCCAATGTGGCCACATTGATTAAATCTTCTTCTTCTTCTTCTTCTTCTTCTTCTTCTTCTTCTTCTTCTTCTTCTTCTTCTTCTTCTTCTTCTTCTTCTTCTTCTT